TAATAAATAGAACCAAAAAACTGCTTCTAAAGTTATCATTTGATGTACTAGGCCAAACAAGCTCATTCTTTAGCTGCTTCAATCTCAATTTATCAATATTTTCATGTTGTTTCTTCTACTCAAACATACAACTTTCTTTATCATGTTCGGAAATGTAATCCATTTTTAAAGTAATGTAGCACTAGATGGTAATCCTAACATCTTATGAATAGATTTGCTATCAACACTAACTTGACAATTCTCAAACTCCACCTTCAAACTCTCAAAATTAAAATGATCAAGAACATAATAAATAATCTTTAAAGGTACATCATTCATCTTCATCCGTAACAAACTCCCAGATCCCATAGCCCTAACACACTCGTTTTGTTCTCTACTTAAACCCTGAATAACACCCAATAATGACCCGAGTGAACATTTGTTCTTCAATGAAGGAAATTCTTTTATCACATCAACTTTTTTATCTTTCTTCACAACTTTAGCTTCTCTCTTTAGTTTCTTTGAAGATCCATGACGACTTTTAAAATCATAATCATATTCATTAGATAATTCATGTTTCTTACTTATAGTTTTGACCTTCTTTAAAACTAATTTGTTTCCCTTAATTGTTAGATTCTATTTTGGTTGTTCAATAACTTCTTTTTTGGATTTCTTTGATCGGGTTTCCACCGCTTCCTTAGCCTTTTCTTTTCTAGAAGATCATATTGTCTGCATTGAGCTTTCTATTGATACCTTCTTAGTAATATTAGCCTTTTCAACTACAAATTTTTTTACACACATAGTGTTAGTAAAAAAGAAAACAAAATACATATAGCAGTTACAAAAAAAGAAACATAATCACTTATGATTGCAAAAACATACCCTTGTCATTTTTAATCTTGGACTTTTTCTTTAAAACATCTGGACTTTGCTTTTCATAAACAAGAGGATTTACTACAAAAAAGTCAACATAATTAGTTATTAATACATAACTAAAATGCATATGATTAATAAAACTATGATTTTAACTCACACAATCACTAATGATTATAAAAACGCACCTTTATCATTACTATTTTTGACATTTTCTCTTTAGATTGCGGAGAATCATCTTCAGATTCATATTGGTTTCCTAGATAAAGAAACGTATATAATCATTTATGATTAGAAGTATAAATAAACATAAAACCAAAACTATAAAATATAATTCCATTTAAAAAATCACAAAATCAATTATGATTATAACACATACATTTATCATTTCTTTTCTTTGACGTTTTTTCTTTACCTTCGCGATAAACAACTTCATATTCATATTATGAACAAATATGAACATCATCAATTATGAATAAAAAAGAAATAGAAGAAAATGCGACAAAAAAACATAATAGTAAACGAAAATATAAACAATTACTTATAACAAAAAAGCACCACAAACAAACATAATAAAAAGTGATAAACAGTAAACGAAAAAAATCATCAAAATCAACTAAAAATGACGAAAAAACTACTAAATCAAAACAAAAATCATCATCATCAACAAAAAAAACTACAGTTAACTAGTTAAAACAAACATGCATTATCAATAAAATAAAAAATTAATCATATTCTAACCTTTCATTTCGACTAATGAAGATGCGATTTCGTTTAGATTTTCTTTTGAAGACATTACTGATTTTCCCACTTAATTTGCACAATTAACAACCAAAATCTAGGGCTTAATGTGATAAAGAAACAAAAGAGGGTTTTCGTGAGTGGAATTTTGGATGAGAAAGGATGTTGGAGGTTACAGACTATCATAACTTTTCTACAAAACTGATTTGATGTTTGCAAAATTACAACACTAACCTTGAAATGGTTACTAACGACGTTAATTTAATCGGTTACCTATATATTTACAATTATGTCACCGTCAAATTTTACCAATAAAGATCATTAAATCAAAGGTCTATAAAACTATCTCACAATATCTAATTTTATTTTATTATTTTATTTTTTTATCTCAAAGGAACCAGCATCTCTCTCTCTCTCTCTATATATATATATATATATATATATATATATATATATATATATATATATATATATATATATTTAATATCCTTGATTTATGCTAGAAATGATCATTATGAATTATCTTAAATTCTTAAATACAAATTTTAAACATCAAAGCTAGAAATGATCATTTTGGATTATCTTAAATTCTTTCGAGAAATTAAATTGTCTCATACTTTTTATGCTTACAAATATTTCTACCTATTAAAATATGACAAGTAATTCATTCCACCATTCAATTTAATTTTATTTGATATATTCATAATATATCTTTAATAAGATAATTAAAAAATATATGAAACTATGACATTTGTCATAATTTTAATGGGTAAGAATATTTGTAGGCGTAAGATGCAATTTTAATTTCTCAATTCTTAAATACAAATTTTAAAAATCAAAACGAAGTGTATTTGATCCTCATTTGTTGCCTAAACTGATTATATATTGTTCGCTCAATTTACCATATTTATATATCATTAGAAATGAATAATTAATTAACTTTCCTAATCTACATGAACGATTTTAGCAAAAGGCTTAGGTATCAAATGAACGGAGGATAAACTGGTGTCATATTTGTCACGGTCCACGTATGCGCCACGTCAATTTTGTCATACTCTTTCAAATTTTTGTTATTTACATGACATGGATTGTCATATTTGCCATGATATATATATTTTTAAATTAATTAATTTAAATAAATAAACATTTCAAACATACTATTTTTGTTAAAACTAAAATTTCATTCAATTTGAAAATAAAATTACAACACAAAAAAAAACATAGAATTTCAAATTACGAACCTAGAAACCACCAAAAAAAAACATAGAAATTTATAATAACAAAACCACAAACTTAAAATAACAAAACCTAGATGTTGTATTTTTTCACGACATTCTCTTTTGCTTTTATCATCATTTCCTTTTCACGTCCGGTGAGAGCGCTAGTATCTCTTGTTAAGATCGACAACGCCAAGGCACAGTTGTTTTTCTTTCTCTTGTGCGACCACCGAATTTCGTTCTAAAGACGACTTCAAGTTGTACATTTTGGTTGTTAGTTGGTCGATGTCGCCCGAAGCACATCCCGAACCATTTGTTGCCGCTTTTCCCTTTCGCTTGGCTTGGTCTCTTCCCATTGGACGAGTGGCTCTTGGAACCTAAAAAGACTCCTCGTCATTGAGGTCAATCCCGACATGCGCACCGGACGATTGACTATGCGTTGTTTCGGATTTTTTGGTTTTTTTAGAAGAACAACCGTAAAGGTTTCAGAATCGTCAACCTTTTGCTATTTTTTTTAACAATTTCAAAATATTCCAAACATGTAGAAATTTGAAATTGGCCCTTTCTGATTCCGGTACAATTCAAGAGCTTTTTGCAAAATAGTTTCGTCGTTTGCACCACTTTGTCATTGTCATTTAACACTCGAAAACACCTCATTAAACTCTTTTACCACTTTGTTGACATTTCTCCACTTGGAATAAATTTAGTCTTTTTTCAGGTACTTTCCAAAATTCATCTCCGTGAGAAAACGCCGTGTAATTTTCCGGAAAAAAAAGTTAGACAATCTTGTTTGTTTCCGACCACCAAAACTTCAAAAATATCCACCCACACACAAGCTAATGCTTTTCTTCGGCCGGTGTTCATTGCTTTGGAGTCAGCCTGCCACTTTTTTTGGGTTGTGGTGGATTCTCTTCCAACTCCGATTCCATATTGGGGGACGACTTCAGGTTCCTCTTGAGTTTGGAATTGGGTTTGAAAAATCATTGGGGAGTAAGGAAGATCATCAAATGGATTGAAGTCATTTCCCATTTGAGATAAGTTCATTTGTGGATGGTTTTGAAATTGTGGTTGTTTTAGAATTGAGGTTGGTTTTGGTATTGTGCGTGACTCTGATAGTGAGGCTGGTTTCGGGCTTGAAATGATAGTAAACACCACCAAAATGTAAATTTGGTAGAAACTAAATTGGCCGATCATTTTGATTTTGAATGAAATTTGTTGAAGTATGTGAGATGGTTGGGTTTTGGGTGTTTCTTTTGGGTTTTTTTTTTTTTTTTGAGCTTTTGGATTGGAAGGGGAAGCCATTTTTTTCACAAAAATTATATTGTTCATAGTGAAAAAATAAAAATGGTGAAGTGGGATAAAATAAAATATATAGTGTTATTTATATAGGTAAAAAGGAGGATTTTTTGAATTTTTTTTGAAAAAACGGTCAAAAGACCCTTCCAACTTTCACAAACATTTAAAACCCAATACCCTCTCTCATCGGTAAGTTATAGCCAAGTTGCCGAGCCGAACTTGGCATACCGAGGATTTGGTCTGGTGTTCGCCAACCAAGTGGCCTAAGGATCAAAGACAAGACAAATAAAAGATACTCTTATTAAGTTGAGGCGAGTTACCAAACATTGTACAGCTCCCCATTTCAACAATTTTAAAGAATTAAGATACTTTACATAAATGACATCAAACTGACCGGGATTCTTTACATAAATGGCTTATCGAACTACTTTTGTGATAGCAGTAGCAGTATATGTTTAAGAGAAATTAAATATCCTCCTACTTTTCTTCCTAATTATCTACCTACCCATTTGAAATGATGACAAATGTCCTAAAATATCATTAGTTTTATCTAAATATGATATTTGTCACAATTTCACGTGGGTAAGAAGATAGGTAGGAAGAAAAGGTTGGAGAATATTTAATTTCTCTATGTTTAATGATAGATTGTGGTTGGTGTGGTTTTGTAACCACATTATAAGGCAAAAAATAACCGCCTAACATATAAAATGAAATATTTGGTTCTACCTTCTTCTTACCTCCTTATAATCCTCCTAAGTCCTATCACAGCTTTCACTGGCCTTCTCATTTCAAACAAACAAAATCATCTCTTTCTCACATACAACATAATCTTCAATATATATATATATATATATATATATATATATATATATATATATATATATATATATATATAGGGTTGGTATCATCTCTATCTTAGACCTGGTATGTACTTTGGAGGACGGGATGCATTGCTAAGATCCCTTGTGTGGGTGGGGATGGGAGGCTGCAGACATAAGACGTAAGTGGGTGGTTATTTCAGTGAAGGATGGCCTGAGCATAGGGTTAGGTGCCCAACAATGCTCCATTAGCCTTCTCCATTCCCCATCACAATCCCTTGGAATAGGGGGTCTCAACCTATTGCTCACAATGCCTCCTGCAACAAACAAAACAAATGGCTTCCATTTAGCAATCAATTACTACAGACAGTAGTACAGTGTTGGTATGATGGAATCGATCGGAGAAGGAATGGCTGTTTAGTTAATTTGAACCATTCCTTATTAAGAATTTCATGATTTCAATTAAATTATATTATATATATATATTATATATATATATATATATATATATATATATATATATATATATATATTGTATTTTCCATAAGTAACTACTACTACTGGTATGTATATTATGTGGGCCAACAATAGTAATAATCTATATCTATCAGATGTTAAGTTTTCTGTGATACTATTAGAATACTAGGAAACTATAGATTCTTTGTAAAATACTAGTAGTTAGATAGATAATGATAAATGATTAATCCCCACCTATGATTGCACCATAGTGCATGTTTGCATAGGGCTCCTCGCCAGTCAGGATCTCCCATAACACAATTCCAAACGAGATTACATCAACCTATTTGTTAATTGTCAATTTTTAATTGTTAATTGTTATGTTACCAAAAACACAAAACAAAAGAAAACAATATATTATATATGGTGATAGAATGAAAGAAGGGAAGGGAAGGTAAAGAGGATCATGACATGATGATTACCTTCTCAGATACTTTATTGCTGCTACCATTCAGCAGCTCAGGAGCCATCCATGGCAGGGTGCCCCTAACTCCACCTGAAACCAAAGTGTTGCGCTTCATCTTTGATAGTCCAAAATCACCTACCTGAAATATATATATTTATAATAAGAAAATGAAAAACTTGTAAGTTGTGAGTGATAGATAGATAGATACCTTGCATATAGGGCGTGAAGGATCTTTCATATTGACAAGCAAGTTGTCACATTTGAGATCAAAATGCACAATATTCTTGGAATGTAAATACTCCATCCCAAAGGCTGCATCCATTGCAATTATAAGCTTCTTGCGATGGTCCAGATGCCTAGACAAAGAAATAAAAAATATATGAAAAGGTAGATTGATTGATTGATTGAGTTGAAGGAGGTATAGAATATGAGATTACCTATCTTTGCCAAGTAAGACACGCCTTAAGGAACCATCAACCATGAACTCTGTGACTGTAGCTAATGTCCCCCCTGGACCATCTTCTACTATACCATAAAATGCCACAACATTTGGATGGTGAAGCTTTGACAGAATCTCAGCTTCTCGCCAGAACTCTATTATTGTCTATAATAATAATAGATAATAAGACTTTATTTGTTTGTTTGTTGGTGATTTTGATTAGTAAATAAATACTAGAGTGAGTGAGTGAGTACCAATCTCTCCTGTTGAGATGATGGACCTGGACCTGCTGCAAAGCAACTCTTGTTTATCCGTTTGATGGCCACATCTGTTCCCCTCCATTTTCCATGGTAAACTGTCCCAAATGTTCCAGAACCAACTTCCTTTAATTCTTCAACATCTTCATTCCTTATCATCTGTTCCAACATCCATCCATCTTCACTTAATATAACCACTGACTGCCATTATCATAACCCCCAACTATTTTTATTTTTATAACTCTTGGACCTAAATTTTGCATTTGCTTTCTAATTCTCTCTGTAGGAAGGAATTCAGGAATCAGGAATAGGATCACCTTTTAATTTTATTATAGACTTTGAAATTCTTATTTTTATTTACCAATATCTTACCATCCATCAATCAATGTGTACTGTGGATTTCAAGTTTAGGCCTTTGTTGTGTCTTATGTTCTTTAGTATTCTACAATCAAATTATCTTCAATCTATCTATCTATCTATCTATCTATCTATCTATCTATCTTTATTTCCTTTTATGATTGTGTTGTTATCTTCTCATCTAGTTTCCTGTGTAATTTTTTTGATTCCCAACCAATCATCATCTTCAACATCAACAAAGCAATATCCATTCCACATAACTTTTCCCTACAATAAAGACTATATTACTTGGTTTTATCCCAACAGAGATAGGCAATGAAGTTACCCAATTTGTACAAAGGTTCAAGATTATAAGTTGGCATTGACTTGCTTATCTATTAATTTAAAGTTTAAACTAAAACTAATATGAATTATGAAAGACCAATACCTGCAAAGAATTGATATCAAGATCAGCTAGAGAAGGCAGCCTAATGTTCTCTATCTCGGCCTACAAGCATCAAATTGAGCAAATAAAAAAAAAACAAACAAACATGAGCAAAATGATGAGACTAGAAATATACCTCTGGCATCCTCATCATGTTTTCAACAAACTGCATACTTTGAGTTTCACTTACTTTGAGCTGAGATGGATCATCATCTTGAAGAAAAGTTTTTGGAGGTCCAGCAAGTTGATCCTGATGAATGAGAGAAACATCAGCAGCAGCCAATTTCTGGAAAAAAGACCAGTGCTGAGGTTCGTGGTTTGCTATGTTGAAGCTCAATCCTGCTCCATCTTGTGGTAGGACAGCAACACCAGTCACCTCTTCTGATGACATCATTGCTCTTGTGAATATATCAGACAGAAAAAGTCGATCGTTCACATCAATAACTATGTCGCCTTGGGATTCAATTTCATTAGGAAGAGGAGGAGGATCAGTATGGTTAGTTTTGAAGTGTGATATGCTTTCTGCTGCTGCTGGTTTGTGATTGATCACCTCCTCAGTAGTGTTGGTTTCAGGGCCAGATTTAAGGATCTGTTTGTGTTGGTTATCATTATTATTAACCTGTTTTGTTGTTGAGATGGGAATGGGATCTTCAACAGCTTCTGAAATGAAGTCAGAAGGTGAACGAGTTAAGAGAAACTGAGAAGCGAGTGAATCATCAGACTTTGTTAGCCTGTTCAACTCTGTTGGCCCCCGTGGAAGCCTCTCAGAATGATAAACACGTGGAGGTGGAGGTGGAGGTGGCTCAAGGTAGCTCAAATCAATAAGATTATCATTCTCCTTCTCCTTATTATTAGATTTTGGAAGGGGAGGAGAAGAGTAAGAGACTAATTTAGGGTTTGGAGGACCATTTTCAACCTCTTGCTTTGGTATTGCCTTGTTTACTTGTATGTCCGATTTCTGGCCTTGGCTAAAACCTCCTCCTTGCAGAGCACCGTGTTGGTTGGTGTTTAGTAGATTGGATGAATTTGGCAGCATAATAATAGATTCAGAAGGTACTGGCAGTGGCACTGATGATATGCTGCTGTTGGCGACAGGTGGCACTCTACTTGAACCCATGTCACCATTATTATTATTACTATTATTATGTCCATGAAGCTCATTCAGATTCAGATTGTTTCTCCCAAGATCATGTCCCACTCTTCTTCTTGATCCCACCAAACCATTCACAGCAACTACAAACTGAACCTCTGAATCGGCAGAGCCATAATGAGTATCCTCCAAGTCAGTCAAGGAAAACAGAAACATCCTAAGCTTTTCATGAAGATGATGATGATGATGATGATGAACAAGGCTGTTGCATTCCTCCATCATATTCTGCAAATCTTCATCACAAGAGACGGATACCAATGCATCAAGATCCTCACCAGGAAGCTGATACTTGATTGAACATGTTTCACTGTAAAGTGCTGTTGTTTTCTCCCATAACTCTTGCCAACACACGTCCTTTCTTATACGGATAATCATCGTATCTCCTCCAACATATCTAAGTTTCCCATCACTTGGACGAGGTAAAATCTTCCCACCAAAACTGCATAGGATCTTAATCTTATTCTTAATGCTTCTGCTTTCATCATATAAACAACTCTTCCTCTCCTTTCGACTTGTTTCTCTTTCTACAACATCAACATCACTCATTCCTGGAGTAAGACCTGCAACTGCAGTTGCAGAGGGGTCAGGGTATGGAATGAAGGGCAAGGGCATCATCACGCGATCCCGCATAAATTCAACAGCAAACTCTTCACCTGTCTGGATGGAAAAATTATATACAGCTTTCACTTCTGTACCTCTTATATTGGCTGCTTCATTCTTATCAGATTCATTACCATAATATTCGACATGCTTGTGGCCTTTTGAAGCTTCCATCATTCAAACTTCAAAATCCTTATCTAGACGGATCTCTCTCAAACTAGTAGAATAGAATCAATCATGAAATATCTCAATTCCAGAATACCATGAAAAATGTATGAAAGCCATATGGAACCACACAAACCTACCAAAATATCAAACAAAAACCTCTGTCATACTCATACACAAACTATACCACCAGCTAAACATTAATTATACATAGCACAGTTTTATAAGTCACAGGGGATCATAAAAGAAGATTCATCAACTGAATTAAAAATACCCTTAAACAACAATACTTGTCCATTATTTCAATGCATGATATTTTTGGTGGCTTTCAAATATCCAATTTTCTCTTCCTCTTTGAATTTTCTTCATTTTACATCTGCTTTTTTCTATTCCTACCAGATTACTTCTGGAACAGACCAGTCTAAAGTCTTCCACCTATTACTATGGACTATGGAGCCTAAACAATTAATATCACTATTGGTGTAAAGTACATCCAACCCACACATACGAAATACGCAATTAGTATAGCATGGACGAACAAGTAACTTCAGGACAGTCAAAATCGATAATATGAGAAACAAGTGCCCTATATTTTGAATATTACAGGATAGCTTTGTAGGTATGCAGACGGGATGAGCAAGATCTTATCAAAAACCCCGATTCTGATGAAAAGAATACATCAACAACTGCAGTACATCCAAGTCAGATGACATACCCTTAACATATATCAGTCTTTAATTGCGATTTCTTGACGAAATCGAACTGTGCTAGACCTCGTGCACGAACGCTCTTCGCTTCTTTAATTCAGAATCTTGTTGTTGAGCGGACGAATTTCAAAAGGTTTTGCTTTTTCTGTCTCTCTCCCGTTCTTTGTTTTGTATTATGATTTTTGAGTTCTCTCTCAGCCGATAGCAGGTGTGTTCATCGTCAAGTCAAACGATGAGGTCCACATTGCACCTGCTTCCAACACAATTTTTCCGAGATGCTTCTTTTTACGGAAAAACAAAGGGAAAATGACATATATGCCCCTATTATGTTTCTAGGGTTGACCTTTTAAGTCCCTAAACTAATTTCGTGTCTTTACAAGGGCATAAGTTTGGAGGCAACTTGTTTTTTTAGTCATCCTTACCTATTGTAGCAGGTTTCAGTCATGTGTCCACATAAATAATCAAACCATCTCACTCCAGCTCACAGTGTACTGCCACTACAACAATTTCAAATACCCGTTCTTCATCTCTTCCACTTTCATTTCAACCCAATTTCACCACCACCAACGGTGGTCGGAAAATCTGAATATCTTTTGCCACACCCCGAAACCGTGATGGCGGAATCGTTCCGGGGCGGAGGACGTCATGTATAGCATCACAACCAATGTGAAATAGCAACCATAGCAACACAACCATCACAGTGTATACATATATGAAGATGTTTACATCAATTTGAAACTTGTTTGAATTACATCAGAGAGTACATATAAAATATAAACATAAGACTCTTATTACTCCAGCTTCTCATAAATCCAGCAGGTACCTGTCTACTGATTTCTTGAGAATACAAGCAGTTTGAAAATATCAGCATAAAGCTGGTGAGTTCATAAGCGGTAGTTTGTAATGAAAACTTGTTGATGAGCTCGTAAAAAGTATTTTGTATAGCGTCAAGAAAATCCGATATTTTCTTTAAGTGAAAAATGTAGCGTTATCCGTCCCATATAAACCATGAATGTTCGTTACTGAAAACTGTAGTGATATGTGAAAATACTACTTCATGTGACTAGCTAAGGCTAATCATGAAGTATAAGTATATTGTATATGAAATCCTTGCATAAACGATGCTGGTTGAAAACCCTGGCTTCAGCCTTTATACGTAGTGTGTTAGTTCTATTTAGTATAAATAAAACTGTTGAAGGGTGACAAGTTGTAAACTAAAGGGTGAATTATACATAATGTGAGCCGTATAACCATACTTGATATGACTAGAGACCTTTCCAACGTTCTTCAGGCGTCGAGTTAAATGACATTTGTCACCCTGGGCATGCCTGGCCAACTGTAGCTAGCAGTTTGGGTGTGGGATTGTCAGTCCCGAATAGATCTATTCACAAATCTCACGCTCTCCCTCCAGGAGACTCAGGTTATACTATGATAGGATTTATCCCTGTACACCTAAGGGTACAGTAGTGAAGTAGCGCCTCACAGTATCGTACAATCTAGTTTACATTTAGTGTAGTAGCGTTCTACCGTAGTGAAAATCCGAATGTATATCGTTTGTAGTGATAATTACAGTTATGAAAACGCGATAAGGTAGTGATGCAAATTGTAAACTATTTCTGTCTTAGTGCATAAGTTTAGTAGTGAAAGTTTCTATACTTGTTATGCTTAGAAAATCCCAAACTATACCGATTATGGTTTGCATGTAAAACGTAGTGAATAGCGAGTCCGGAAAACCATGCAATTTTAGTGAAAACGTCCCTTATGCTCAACACAGTACAAAAGGGTTAAAGTATGAGAATTTCATTAGTTTTGAAAACCTTTATGTTTAGCTTGTTTCCCCCCCTGAAAACATTAAAAATACGGAAAATGTAGGGGTATGAACTCACCTCGAGCGAGTGGTTTGATTGAAGGATCGATACGAAGAGTCGGGTGTTCTGGTGAAGCCCTGAACACGATTCGATCCTAATAACATGTAATGACACATAAACGAGTCAAATGAAGGTATTTCACCACTAGATGTGATGAAGAACCATTCTAAGAACTTGGGACTACTCGCACTAAGTGTTAGGACCTCAAAGGATTGCATGAGGGAGGTGTATGGCCACCTTAAAGGTGTGTATGGCCATGGGTGTGCGGCCGTACACTCATGATGGAAGGTGCCTTTGAGGTGTTTTCAAGGTCCATACTTGCATCCATGAAGTGTCCTAGGTCCATACTTGGTTGTAGTACAAGTTTAGGGTCTTAGAAATGGGTTTGTGGTCCTAGGATGTGTGTGTGTGGTCGCACACAGGAGTGTGCTACCATACACAGGAGTGTGCGGCCGCACACAGGAGTGTGCTGCCGCACACATGAGTGTGTGGTCATACACCCATCAAGTTTTGAAGAATACGAAGAACTCGAAGAGTTTTAAGCTTAGATCAAGGTGTCTTACCACTATAACAAGCTGAATGATGGAGTAATTCACGTTCTTGATGCCCTTAGAGTGTTCTTGGATGAAGTTTTTAGTGAGAGAAAGTAGAGTGCAGCCAAATGAAAGGAATGAGTGAAAGGGGTCACCTTATATATATAGGGATGAGTGTGCTGCCAGGAGATGTGTGTGCGGCCGCACACCCATGTGTACGGCCGTACACTCCCTCTAAAGGTGTGTATGGCCTTGTTTTGACAGCATACGACTTGCTGACTCCTTCCTAGACTCAACCTTGGTCATGCTCAAGCTTAGAATCACTTAAACGAACCCTTGAATAGTACTAGAAATCGACAAAACAAGTTGAATAATGATTGAATTGATTAATTGTACAAGATTGAAGTTCCGGGTTGTCACATCTTCCATGGCCAACTTCTACTTCTTACTTTACCTTTTTCATCTTATTTTCACTGTTTCTGGTATAGACCGACCGACAAGGCCAAATCACATTCATTGTTCGAGTTTAGAAGGATGCTAATCCTTCAATATTCCCGACTCATAAACACATATAGCATTCCATGGCTTCTCAGCTAAGCTTTCTATTATAGAGGATTCCAAGCTCGAATATGCTTTTGGGATTCTCTTGTTTATTCCCGAACAAGTTCGCCATCTGCATACCAAGCGTTCGTCAGAGATTCTAGGGATTAAGACGTCTAATAGTGTAGGGTTGTTGAAAAAGACAGATTTTGGGTCGGATCTGTTATTAGAGTTTTGGATATTGGGATTTGGCCTGAGATGGAGAGTATCGGATGGTCATGGAACTCATACAACTTCAATCTCCGCTGGTAGGTACGTTTTTCCCGATGACATCTTGTAACTGTGAGTTGATCGAAGCTAATTACTTCTCTACTGGTTAGAAATCAACAAATGGGATTTCCGTCTCTTGATAAGCCACCCGACTACATTGTACACCGAAACCGGAACCACAAAATCTTTACTTTGAACATTCTGAACCGCTCTTGATTAATGTCTTTCACCAGGGGCATTTCCACCCGATTATCAATCAATTTTGGCCGGAAAACAATCACTTCATCCTCCTCTTCTTCACTTTCCACAGATGCCTCCTCTTTAATCACCCCGTTTGATTTGTTTTCGGTTCCATGTTTCTATGTCTCAACGCCGATAACAATCTTTTTCATGTTGGGGTCAAACATGCCCTTTATGGATTGTTGGTTAAAGAAGTTAAAGATTGGCAAATTTGAATTTCCGATTGATTTCGACTGCTTAAGTTTCGGTAATGAAAAATCAATGTAAATAGTCAAAATTAGGAAAATTCAAAGTCAAAGGTGGAAAAATTGGTCATCAGATGTCAATATGGCAAAGAAATAACCGGGTGACCCGGTCACTTTGGTCAAAAGGACGTAATCGACCCGACAAAAACAACTTCGTTCACTCATAAAGCCACAAAATAAGTTAAATGACTAAATGGGTCAACCCTAGAAATCTAATAGGGCATATATGTCATTTTCCCAAAAACAAAAACTAAAGTGAAATTCAGGTAATTAATTTTTCTTTTATCATTTATTTAGGCGATGAATTTGTGGAACTATGTGCACATATAATTATTATCACAAGATTCCGTACATATAAAAAACGTTGAAATCCGACTTATAACGAAAAAGTTAAGATCCGTCGAAGTTTTGCGACAAAACCGGCACGACGCCGCGTATCGTAAAAAGTGAATTTTTGATAAACTACTTTTTAGCCTTAGCAATCTAAGCGAAAGTCACAGTATACGTTAAACCGAGAACGTACATAAAAAGAACGTCCAAATCTGACTTCGTTAGAGAAAGTTATGATTTTTCTCAGATTTAAGATAGTAGTATACAACCCGGAAA